GGGAGCAGATTTTCAGGGAGGGAAGTAACATTAGCTATTTTCTCTGTGGGGAAAAAACAATCTGTAGGCAAGCTTGGAGCCAAGTAAGTTAACTGCAAACTTGCACATCAATGCAGCGAGCGGCTGTTCCAGCCTCTTTATGCAGTGACACTTGGGAGGCAGCCAGGCCGCTCTGCACTGCTACACAGCAGCTCTGCTCGCTGGGGGTATTTGTCTCCACCTGCTCTCTAGCCTCATCGCAGCTCTCTCAAAACCATGTTTCTCACCCAAGGTTTCTGTTGAGACACAAAAACAAATCTCTAAATTACAAAGAGTTTCTTTTCAAAAGCAGGAGATATGAAAGTGAGATCTTATTAGCTTTAAAATCTAAGCTGGAGAAAGACAACTTAAATAATTTGAAAAGTTCCCTCACTCAAAAACATTGTGATTAGAGAAAAGTTTCTGTAGAGGATCTGATCCATGATTTAGTAGGCAAATGGCTGCAGTAGGACAGGGAAGTTTGTGCTGAGCAAAGAATAAACAAGGACAAAAACAATGCAACTAAAACCACCCTTAGAAATACATGCGTTTTTAAACTAAATTACTTCCCCATCCGATAAAGTGCTGTAAAAAAATGTCTCTAAGATCAGTAACTTTTTCTAAGCCATCCTCTCTTTCCATGCAATTTTCCTTAACTACCACTTCTTGTCACTGTCTAATAGGGATATCTGTATCTTACATATATTTTAGAGATACTTTATTGAGTAAACATGAGGATTTATCCTTCGTGGAAAAGGAGAGAGAAAATAAATCACTCTTCAAGACAAATAAACTCTTTCAGCAACCTCTTCATGGACCACTTATGGATGCCCATAGTTAAGAGTTTAATTCTCCCTGTGACACTGGAAGACAAGCTCGCCACTTTTAAAACATTACATCATGATCTTTTCAGATTGATGCTGCATAAATGTCACTGGTATGACTGATGTGACACATATGAAACCGAATCAACTGTATTTCTGTTAACTCCAAGGGTAGTGCATTAATTCAACAAAAAAATAGTAATGATTCAGAGTAACTTTAAAGTATCAGTCAGTTAAACAGCAGTGTGCAAGCACACACCATAAATAAGTTTTCCTATCATGTCACATGAAACGTGTTCTCTGTGCATAATAAAGAATTGAGTTCTTAAGCTTCCAGTCTATTTTTAGACACCAGTGTAATATTACTGAACTTATATCTCAAATATTTAAGTAGTTAAAAATTCGCA